ACAAACTCATTAACCTGCGAGCGAGTGAGACTAATTGCAGCGTTTGGGTAATGTGATTTCACATCTGTTACTGCAGCCCAGGACACCATAGTCAGCACAGGGCCGGATCTGGTGGGCTGAGCTGTGCACAGAGCTAGATCTACCAGAACAACACACACCACACGCTGGCACTGCTGCAGCTCCAATCTGGATGGGTGGAGCAGCAGTCAGGTTGGTTGTGGTTATAACATTTGATCAACTCTTGTCATGCCGTATCTTGTAATTAGATGCTTCTGCAGAGTGAGTCTGAAAAAAAATATATATTGACTACTTCTCAAAAGATGTCTATGTTGAAATTTAATGTCATCTGTTAATGCTGTAGGCTTCACATCCCTGATTCACTCTTCTGGTTTACACTGTTTGACTGTGGTATTCAGTGAGTGTAAACAACTGATAACAACCAATCTCAGTCTTTTTCTATACATTAACTGTCTTGACTGCAATTTTACTCAAAAAAGTATATTTTGATTATCTTGAGGTTTCCGTTCCTATACTTTCCTCCACTCTGTACAATAATAGTGTGGCCTGGTTACTGTCTATACAACAGTAAATGTAATCACAGTGTGATCCTGTGGTTTGCACCTTAATTAGTCTGTAAAGTGTAAAAAATGTTTCTTATTGTATGTTGGAAAACTTCAGGCTATTTCATTCAACCTAGGTGGAAACACAGAGTTTGTGCACGCGCACACACACACACTCAAAGCACAGAAAAGAATAAGTGAATTTTTCAGGGTCTTGACTTGGGTTGGTATTTTCAGTAATTTAGTAAATTACTCCAAACAAATTTATGTTAATAGAAAAGGTGGGAACCAACTATTTAATATAGGAAAAGTAATATACTTTTGTTAATTATGATTAATCCTTTGTTTAACCCCCCCTGCATTGTTACAGAAACTCCAATTATAAGTTTACAGGCAGTGGGACTACTTATGGTAATGCCATATCTCATCAATTACCATCCCGTGACCGTAAATTGGCCTCAGTGCTGACAACGAGATGAGGTTAACACGCTGATTAATTTGAGCTGCTGTGATTTCAGGCTCAAGTTGACACTTATAATCTTTGACACAGACAGTGAGGTCCGCTCACTTTCATAATGGCAAAATTTTATTTAGACTTCTTTCGGAGCTGCATCTGAGTTTAGAGACACTGCATTTCACAGAAAGATAATTTGAAATGAAAGTAACAAGGTGAGAGTTTTTCCAATTACACAAGTGATGGGAAAGTAATGAAGAATTTTAAACAAATGTCAAATGATCAAAAGATGTAAAAGGTAAACTGCTTAATACTGTTTATCTGTATTTTCTTATTGTTATGACATGCATGTAATGCAGCCTTATAATCAGTAAACCTAAACATAAATCAAGAATAATGATTTTATCATTTTATCAACTTCATGACAATGTGTCCATATAGATTAATACTTTTCTCAGAGGACTGTCTTTGTCATATCATTGATATGACTATATGTGTGTTTTGGATGAGACAGTCAGTTTAGAAAAACAGTAGGTCTACTATGCAGTTAAATACATGCAGGCGTGTGTCGATTTTCAGCGTCTGTGTGAATCTTAGGCAGCCCCCAGGAAATGCCCAGATCAACGTGGTTAATTATTTATTTACTTAATAGATGATTTGTCTGTTGCTTCGTTTGGTTTGTGCTCCTCTCCAATAGGGCACTTGCTGATACGTAGATGCGACACAGCTCCATCCATAAACAGCTGTTTGTGTCCCAGAAATGAAACACATTAACATGTTATTGGCAGTGCATTGTGGGTGAGACTGGTGCACAGTTTTTTGCTCAGTGCTGCATGTCTGCATAACACCTCTAGTAAATTGGACCAGATTTGATTTCTGTGTTTTAATTTTTTTAAAATGACACAATCAGTCTATGTGCGGGTCCATAGAGTTCACCTAGTAGCATATTTTCTGAAAGTCTAACTGTATGAAAGTACTACACTAGTAACACAGTAGTCTAAAATGTACTACAGAAACATCATTAAATCTGAGTACCAGAGACTCACTGTTTATTTACTGTGATAGACTACACAATGGTCTAACCCTGACTTCAACTCAGCCTTATTAAAACCACACTAAAACCTCATTTAATTAAACCAAAGTGTAGCTATTTGGGCTATACACTATGTAAAATTTGCTATTTGGCAACCACCAAGTACTGTATTTATTCTCCCTGAACTAAATACATCCCACCCAGCGGGGCATTATGGGGGATCCCAACAGGTGTCTCTCAACCCCCAACGCCACACAGCTCCCACCTAGCTGGTTAACTGTCCTCAGTAACCACAGAGATAAAAAGTCTGTTACTGGGGGTGGCCTGCACTGGGATGGAGTCCACTCTGGTGACTCCTGGGCAGCTGATTGAGAGGGTTCTGGGGATTTTGGCTGGCTCCCATTGTTGAACCAGGCTTGTGTCTGGTGAGGCCCTGCATCCGTTGGTGCCCCCACCTGGTCCTGCTGCCGAGGACCATGCGAGTGCTGGGTCTGAGCTGCATGGGAGCCCTCACCTCTACTGGCAGGGAAATGGCCTGCGGTGCTGCTGCCCATCATGTGGCGGTGTCCTGGTCCTCGGCGCACTGACCACACTGGTGCTTCTTCCTTCCATGGCTCCTCTCGTACAAGCCCTCACGAGCTCACCTGGTCTCAGTTCACACCGCCCAGAAAAGTGGTGTAGGCATGGACAAATACCTGACTGGACCTGGTGGTGTAGATGACCCTCCAACCAGCCGCTTGAGTATCGTGGTTGTGCACAGCGTAGCCCCAGGCACATCCTCCATGGCCCCCCACTTTACCAGCAGGTCAAGGTTGATGATGCATGGATCTTGAATGTTGGCCAGCCCAAACCAGTGCTCCACGGTGAGGCCAGCAGCAGCCACTTTGAGCATCCTCTCTCCTTTCATCTGTGCACTCTCACCAGTCACTGGGGTGACGCAGAGCTGGGTAGCTCTCCAGCCCTATGTATTCTGCCCTCTTGTGACCAGCAATGTTCCTTGGCATACCAGAGAGATGATGGACCCCATGTCCACCAGGGTGCGGCCCAGTGTGCCACTGAGTTCACAGTCCAGGTATAGTCCGTGTGTCCGGCCCTCGCAGCCGACCCACTGCTGTGATATGTTGAGGGTAGATGAGTTCTCTGGGGGTGATGGCCGTCGTCGTGCCAGTGCTAGGCAATAGCACGCAGTGTGGCCCAGCTCTCCACAGCGGTAGCATTTCTCTTGGCATCGTTCAGCTGCTCTCCCACTTCCTCGTGGTAGTGGTGGTGTGGCAGCAACCTTGCAAGCTGCCTCCTCCTCGCCAATCTCTGGCTGGCTGTACTGCGCAGTGGCCATGACCCAGGGCACAGAGCCCCACCTCAGAGCACAGGCAGTGGCCTCCCACTCCACTGCAAGCTCCAGAGCTTCATCCAAGGTTCTGGGGTGGGCCAGCCACACGTGCAGTCTAAGCTTGTCCGGGACGAATGCCTGGACAAACTCATCTCTCACCAACTCACCCTGGTGCACTGGCCCAGGCTCTCCATGTTGTAAGCCAAAATATGGAGGGATTCTCCTGGCAGTTGGGTGTGGTGTTTAAACTCACTGTGCAGGGCATCTTGCAGGTCGAGTTTGCAGAAGCTTCTCTGAAGTGCACTCACCAGGGCTCACCAACAGTTCGAACCGGGCGAGATATGTCTCCTAGCCAGAGACCTTCGGCATCTTCATCCCAGGGGGTGGGGGGAAGACGGCATGCCACAGAGTGGGATTCCCCACGTGGCCTTCTATTCAGGTTGTCATCTAGATCGGACTGACCTGCTCGCAGTTCCAGAACAGCCGGCTGGTTGGATGGTGCTGGCTCTGGGTCCCTGCAAAGCCGGGGTGGTAACAACTGGGCATGGTTCCTCCGGCATGCCTGGTGGAGAACACTGGCTCTGTCAGCAGACTCATTTTGGCGGGCTCCTGCTGAGGGCATGGTAGCAGGTAATTCCTCGGTGGCTGTGGGCCCTTCTGCTTCAGGTCGCACTGCCTCTTGCTTCTGTCAGGTGCCGGCGGTTCTTCCCAATCCCACTTCTGACACCAGTTTAATGTAGGCCAGTTTAAGGAAGGAGCCAGAGACAGAAGTTGTCTTTTTCTGCGCTCTCCCAAGGCCAGGGAAGACGCTCTTTTATTAGCACACACACACAGACATTGGCACACAGCAACCAGAACACTGAACAATCCCCACCAACCCTGAACTAAATACATCCCGCCCAGAGAGGCATTATGGGGGATCCCACCAGGTGCTCTCCCCCTAAGGCATTCTGAGGGACCCCGCCAAGTGTCTCTCCGCCCCCAACACTACAATAGTTCTGTAACATTATGGGAACTAGGTGGTCTTGTATTTTCATCTCCTCTGGCATTTCTATAATAACCCTAGCTGAATCTTACAATAAATTTAACTTTTGCTGCTACTATCGATTATGTCATGTCAGGATAGGCCTATAGAAAAATACACTCTATAGAAACGAGGCTGGTACACTATAGAGACACACTGGTCTGTGATTGCTTCTGTCTGATTAGGGTCCATCCAGTCTGCTCAGTAGGATGACCGTCATGGTTAAAAGCAATGACCGTCACATCACAGCACTGACATCTTTACCGCTGCTGTCTGCAACCATGGCACCAGTCACCCCTCATACAGTAAACCCTTTAACCCTGTCACCCCAAGCACCGTAAAAAAATAAGTAAAATAAAATATATATAATGTGTTTGTTCAGCAAAATTATCATACACTATAAGAAAATGTATCGCCAAAATGGCGCTTTCAATTCTCATTGGTAATAGAAATTCGTTGCATTCGCCTATTTTAAAACTACATTATGACGGTAGTATAGCTCAGAGTCATCAATCTATTCTAACAAAGGGTTTATAGAGGTTTGACCATAATAGTAATTCTGCTTATATTTAATAGAGACACGAAACATTCTTGTTTGGACATTCTTGAAAATTATTTTTATTTGTTTGTTCATTTTAAATAGGTACAAACCCTTCAATGTGGTGCATTTCGATGTAAGATCCAACATTTAAGAAATGTGTCAAGTAATAGCACATACAATAAGTTAAAACATGTCACAAAAAAGACCAGCGGGCACATAGCAAGAATGTTTTATCTACACAAAACATCCTAAAACAGAGTAGACTTACTGAAAGATTATTGTATCTTTTTTCCTCCTCATATTTACGCTCCTGTCTCATGCAGCAGAGACTGAGGTCGCCTAACAAAAGTTCCTGTTCAATCTGAGTAGGCACCATTTTCTCCTTATTCAGGCGTCTAAATCCACATGCACAGTGCATGCCTGCAGTTCACTAGGCCCGCCTACAGTATGGTGCGTGTGTAGCGGGCTATTACCAAAATATTATACCCAATCTTATAAAGAACCGTTTGACATAACACAACTTCACCTGAACACAATAACATGTGTTCGTAAAGACGCACGCAATGAAAACGCAAATACGACGATTGTTTGGCTCTGTAACTGGGGCCTATAGTCTAGAGATCATTACAGCAGTGTTTATCACCAATAGTTGTTAAAAATCCGTTTCGATTAACAAGATAAATAAGCCCGAACCCAAGCTTTGCCCGTTAGTGTTGTCCTTTTCTTTTTGACATGTCTAGATGAAGTCACGTACAGTCTCCGTTTTCTCACATTTCAGGCCTGATTAGCTCGTTCTCTTATACTGATCATAAATACAGGGAATAAAAACGAAAAAGGAGCCGCATGGTGGGGCTTGGAGAGGGAGTTAGGAGGAGACAGGTGTGAAAAGTCACTAAGTGAAACTCATGGACACTGTGTGCTCCAGCGCTTTGCGCCGCAGTGACGCGATGCTTGTCCCTCTCCACATGTCACTGTCCGGGGAACTACACAGCTGCGGGGAGCCCGATACGTTCGTAGGGCCGGAGAGAGAGGCCGACATTCCGGGGAAAGGCGTCTGGTAGAGGTGAGACTGCAGACCGGAGCCGTTAGAGGACAGACCGTTGGAGAGACCCATGGAGTTTGGTGGTGGGCCTGGACCCAGGCTGCACTGTGACAGAGATTGCGCCATGCCTGGCTGGCGACCCAGGGCCGGTGGGAGCTGCAGCTGGGAGACCCCCGGCATCCCTGTGGCCCAGCGAGAGTCGTTGGCGTGGAAGGAACATAGGCTGTTCTCCATAGCGGCCGCGGCAGAGAACTGTGGCAGGCCCGGTGTTGGGAGCAGCGTCCCCGGGGCGCGGAAAACATTGGTGGTCTTCTTCCTTTTCTTCCACTTTGCGCGTCTGTTCTGAAACCAGACCTGTAAGAAGAGAGAACCATCAGATGCCCTGACTATCTGAGGCAGCATCACTTTATATTATGCCATAATAAGAGCAGCACGTTGATGCTGCATCATGTGTTACCATGGGAGAAAAAATACTAACAGGCAAGATTATCTAATAAAACCTGACCGCACCTCAGACATTCACAACAAAAACCTCCATATTACAGAGAGAACCCGCTCTGACAAACACATCCTCTCCCAGCTCTGGAGCCTGCTCAGGAACTAACCCTATGAACTCAGGCAAACTAAATTAACAGCAGATAAACGCAGACCTCCGTCAATTAGCCTATGAACTCGTATCAAAATACCGTCACTGCCCTATCCAAGAGGTGCTGTCCAGGTATATCTCAGGAATCCCACTACCTTAAAGATGTTCTAAAATAAACAGAAGCCTCTCAGAGGAAGATTTTGTAAATAGCAGCTATCCTATGGTGGGGCTCAAACTGTAAAAACGCATGGGCTCAGGATTTAATTGTAAATAAGCCAATCTACTGAAGGTGCTTCATATAAAACCGCGTTCCGTAGCAGTGGGTCGAACATTTATCTTTTCTAACATCTTATTTACAAGCAGATTAACTGAAAATTGCCATAAATATTGCGTGGGCTTCAATACAAATGGCCCCCGCATTGCCGTACACAGTCTCCTTGGAAATAAAACCTACCCATCCACCCGCGCACCAAAGTCACAAACACACCGAACCACATACGCGGATAAAAACGCACGCGCGTCCCCGTTGGGCATTATAAAGATTTCATCATCTTCGGGCGTGATTAATGTGCGCGCGAGACCGTGAGTCGGTGCCTCCGTATTAAAAGTGAAATCTCGCTCCCATTCCGCTCAGCCATCCGTGAAACGTCGTCCAAACCCATTACACTCAAGGGGAAAGAAAATGCAATTTCTCATTCCATTAAAAAAGTACAATATATTCTTGAGTCCTATTAAGACGTCGCTGATAGAGCATTTTATAGGCGAGGCTGTGCAGCGCGCACACAGGCACAAAGGCCGCCTCGCCCACGGAACGCTGCCCCTGCACGGCCTGTTTACCAACAGCCGGTCCGCTATGAGCGGCCACAGGATCCTGCACTGATTGGAATAAGGAATTGATTATTAAGGTGACTAATGATTATACTGGTTTTATTGCTTTCAGTGGGATCATTTACATGAATTTCACATCACTGGTTAATAACCCGTTCACTGCTATAAATAAGACTGAAATTGGTTGATAATGTGTGTTGTTGATTGGAGCCTGCTGTGCCTAAGCCACTTTAAATTGTTTAAAAGGGGATTCGTATGCTCAATTTTCCAAAATACACACGATATAAAAATTTAAATGTCACCAGTGTAAGCAAAGCTAAATAGATCTGCATTCGCATCCTAATCATTTTGGAAAAGGGGAGTCAAATGTTGTAAAGGAAATTCTAAATTCTCTTCCTATATTTGTAATGTGTAATGATAATTATCCTGTCACCTACATAATTCTATGCAACTGTTATGGGTCCACATTTAAAATTGCAAGGAAAATAAAAATAAAAGAAATGGAAATCAGGATATAAAGAAAAGACTAAGAAATTTCACAGCCCCAGTGACAATATGTCCGGTGACAATCATCACATTCTCTGAGATTTATATCGAAGACACCAGAAAAATCTGCTCTTCATGAGAATCCTGCTCGGAATCTATTTTCACTGGTGGGGCACTACTTCTTAAAAGGAAATATACATGAAACTAAAGCAGAATAAATTATATTATATTCGACTCCTATAGTTCAATTACAACACGTTTAGGTCGACACATTTTGTTAAACTGTGATTAGAGTATAAGTAAATAGAGAATGGGCCTATAGCTTACCGTTTTTTATCATTATGCATATAAAGTGAAAAATAAAATATTTTAAGTGATTCTCTTAGTTCAGTGACAATCTAAACAATATTATGTTTAGACTTTTAAGTTATGGTTTGGTGTAAATGAGGCGTAAATTCACTGGTGTTATCCTTAATATTCAAAGCATTTTCACCCCAAACTTAACGCAATGGACACCAAATCTGTGGTAACATGAAGAACAGTAACCAGTCACTGGAAATACTTGACTGTAAACGAAAATTCGTTAGAAGTGACCAAGCGGAGGGGCCACTAGTCCTGGATCCTCTGCTGTGAACGTAGCCTATTTTGCCCACTTCCTTCCAGATGGGTCAGAAAGACGATTTTCATCCATCTACATCATTCTGAGCACTGCCTGAGCCCAAAGCCACACACCGCCACATCACACCGGTGTTTGCATCCTATACAACCACCCGCATCACCCAAGTGCTTACCTGAACTCTGGACTCAGTCAGGCCGATCCTCAGGGCCAGTTCTTCCCTCATAAAGATGTCAGGGTAGTGGGTCTTGGCGAAACTGCGTTCCAGTTCGTTGAGCTGCGCCGGGGTGAAACGCGTCCTGTGCCGCTTCTGTTTCTGCTGGCTGGCGGGCTGACCGGAGCTCTGCTGCGGTTGCTGCTGCTGCTGCTGCTTCTCCTGCTCCTTTCCGTTCACCGGCATGCCGGCAGAGTTGGATCCCACAGTGGCGATGTCTTCTCCCGGGAGGAGAGTGGTTCCCTCTACAGAGTCAGAACCAGGGGCCATGTCTCCCGGATGCCCCTGGTCTGGCACCCCACCTCCCAACCTGCACTTGAGAGCCTCTCGGTGTCCGAGTAACTCTGCAGCATCCTTCATCCCTGAGAGGATGAGGAGGAGAGAGGCTTTGAGTAAACACACAGCAAACCCTAACGCGCAACATCTTTAAAAGCGAGTCACATGAAATGCTCTGGCATCTTTATGACAAACGGTTAGATTCGTTTAAGAATAAATAAACCGAGCATAGCTTGGGTCGTCATTGCTGTTGTCAATTCATCTCTCATTTCCTGACAAATTACACTAAAGAACTGCTTCCGCTTAGCTGTTAACACAATTAACTACGCTGTCTATTTATCACTTCACAAGGTTAAACAAGAAGTTGAAATCTTACACTGGAGTTTAGGGCCGGAGTTTAGTGATGATAACTCACCGAGCCGAGCATCCAGGAGGTCGGCGTGAGAGAGCATCGCGTACCGCTCCAGGGCGAAATGCGCTCCAAAAAAAATCCTACAACTTTGGGGCAATTTAAAAAGTATATATCGTCTAAATGAACGAAAATTCGGTTTGTGGTTAAAAAGGAGGTCCCTTGCATTATAATGTCCTTTAGAGCGATGGGGAGGCGCTTATTAGTTGAAAGAACCCGTGAGCTTCCTCAAATAAGAGCCAATCAGAGCTGGAGCTGGGAAATGTCACCGACGTGACTCCCCCCTCTTTTTTTAAACACACATACGCACGAACGCACGCAAACACGGGCGCGCACAGATCTAAATGCGCAGGAACACTACAATTCAATTCAATCCTGTGCCATTTCGTCCTCTGATTTATTAGCTTTTCATGCTCAAATTATTCCACGTTAAACATCTTAATGCGTTTGTGTAATCTCATATAGGCTGTGCCATGACAGGACTGTTTGTAGAAAGGTACATGTAAAAGACAGGACGCGAGCTCATGAAAGGCTTTGTAGAAAGGTACATGTAAAAGACAGGAGGCGAGCTCATGAAAGGCTCGTTTTATCTCGTACAAGGAGATGGGAGCTTCCAGGTATTTGAGAAAATGCATTGCCTTTAATTAATTAGCCATATCTAACTATCAATTTTCAAATCACTGAACTGTGTCGATTAGTCTGTGTACAAACAGTAACCGTGGCCAGAACGGGAGCAAGTCATTCTCATGAAAAATGACATTTTAAAACAAACGTAAAGCTGAACATTATTTGTATGTTCATACAAATATACTTCTACTGTATTGAGAGAAATAGCAGAGTGGGGGTGTTCTCTGTAGATCCCAGTTTGGACTTTGGTCATTACAGAAAATAGGAGATGAGAAGCCTGGCCTCCTTTTACCTCGGAGCTCCACTTCCCTCTCTTGTCCTTGGGTCACCAACAAAACGAATATCGCCCCTATTCCCCCATGGCATTTGATTTGTTGAGACAAATCGAGGAAATAAATAAATAAACGAGTACAGATGGATTTAAGCTTTGTTGGTGATCGGCCGCTTTAACTCCCATCGACTTTTCATCAACGTGGGCGCAATTAAAGGTATTTAGGCCTGTTTGGCTCAAACAGAATCAGACGTGGTAGACCCTAAAGATTATGCCCCTTTAGCAGTGGTCCATAAGTAGGTCTATTATACAATTAATAAGACAGCCATTGATCTGCGCTCCACTCTTATTTCTCGAGACAGCGCCGGTTAGAGAAGGCTTTTGGCAGATGTCAGGGTGAGCCTGGTGAATAGACCACCGCCTGGGACTAAATAGGTTCTTTGCAGCACCACAAAGGAGGCGTCCGAGCGAGGACTCCTCTCTCCTGCACCACATGGAGGCAGTTCATCTTTTATGCACTTCAACAGCAATCTGCCGGGACGTAGGGAAGTAGGGTATATGTGGCACAGCGTGAAAACTTAAGGAAATGGACTGGTGCATGGTCCACTGAGATGAGGAAAGCTGTGACCAGCTCCCTGAGGTTCAGGAGAAGCAATCAGCAGCAGCAGATCGTCAATTCGTTTGATTCAGACGTGTAGACCAGGGGAGAGGAGAGGGACTCTATGTGGGGAGTATAGGCCCAGCCCCGCGTCTGCAAGGGGCTCGAGCCAGGAGACACGGGCTGTATCTGCAGGGGTCGGGAGCCAGGAGACACGGTCTGTATGCTTTGGAAGCTGCTTGACAATTAATGTCAGGAAAACAAATGGTGTAAAATAAAAATAATAATAATGATGGGAAATAAACTTAATATCATTTTCGCTTGATAAAATATGTGCATTAATATATAATACTAAATTATAATTTATGTATTATGTAAATCTGAATAAAGTAATTGTAATAATAAATTCAAATAATTTTATTATTATTCTAAGCTCAATAATAAACATATGAGCTGAGTCCAATTTAATAAAGTTGTTTTTAACAGACATACTATCACCAATAATAGTAAAGTTTATTATTATTATTATTATTATTAGCATAATCCTTAACAAAATGTTTTGTAAAAAGTTGCTGCATTTTTCTAAGGTAGCCTTTATATTATACAACTGTTTTAAGAACAACTGCAGCAGCAACAACGATGATAATAATAATGATATTAATAAACATAGTTAAAAACTGCTTTACCAGAGATTTGCAGAGGACATTACTGGATAATTGTTTGTGACATTAACAGCAGCTTTGCCTTTGAATAAACAGTGTAACTCTGAAGGCTTGTGCTGGTTGTAGTCATGTTTGGCCGCATTCATCTGGAGACCTTCACGGTAAATATTGATATTGTGGTTTTCTGCAGCGAAAACAGCCTGGATAGCAGATATCCCCTCGGCAGTCCTCAGGTTGTAACTTATTGCTGTAATAAGAGGAACCCACTTGAAATGGGTCTATGTCTCACTCAGCCTCCCTAACTGGACCACATCAATCTTCCCCAGTAAAAACACGCTCACATACAATCCTCCCGGGTTAATGCGGCGCATCTGAGTGCGGAACGGCTGTTTACACGCGAGGAGACACTTTTAATGGAAGCGCACCAAAAACAAATGCAATTTTGTAAAGCAATTTCAAAGATCAAGAATTCCGTGTCCACCCTCTCTGCGGTTTTTTAGCAATCAAACTGCGTTAAATCCATTGCTCATATGGGCCTTTGCAGAACAGGTTAGGAAAATACAAGTAACAAAAGGCAGATGCAAGGACAAGATCTTTTACACCGCAACCAAACTGTAACATGTACAGGCAGGGGAACTGGTTGTTTCATATGTTCAGACTTGCATCGCCTCGTAGGCATATGCATTCACTCGGTTACACAACTCTAAAAGGACAATCGATTTCCCATTCGCAGAAACGGCTCTCCAACAAATCACCTTGTAGTTTTGTGCAGGTGATTTGATGACAGTCGGAGGAATAAGAAGCAGACCAATAAATGCGCTGCGTCCGAGTCCGAGAGATGCAGAGAGAGGCGAGAGCAGAGAGCCACGGACAGGCAAACACATTAGAGGCTTCCCTCTTCGGCCACCCAGACTGGCTGCACCACCCCGTGCATCTCACGCCCCAATTAAGCCCGCTGCCCTCCGCCTGGTCCCCCTTACTGCGTGATCTGGTGCACAGAGAGGTAATCACAGCTTCAAATAAAATAATCAGCAAAGAAGAGCGATTTCCTTAATGAGGAAGAAGAGGCGTGTGTCACGGAGACGGCGGTGTGGTGGCAGTGTGAGTGCGTATGTGTGTGTGTGTCTGTGTGTGTGTGCTTGGAGGCTTGTGTGTGGTTGGGGGTGTATTAAAATAGCAACGAAAGTCACAATAGGTTCATTAAGGCAGTGGTGTTAAATGTCTCATTACTTCCGTGGTTAATAGTTGACCTGATGCTCAGGGCTCCATGTTTAAGGTTCTCAGCTCATGAGTAAAGAGAAACATCCCGGGTCAACAACCTGGTTAAGGCTTATGTAGTTCAAAATTGAACATAAAAGTGGAAAGTTTCATTAAGCTGATTCTTTCAGTATCCCCAAGGAAAAGTACATCCATGAACCCACATCACTTTCCCAAAGTTATACTGGGTGGGCTTATGCCAGAGACATCAGGACGTTGGTTTGCTGTTACGCCAACAGTGTCCCCAAAACCAGAACATCCCTGTTTCTGCTTATTTCTTCACCCTGTTACTTGGGAAATTCATTGAAAAACTGAAATGTTGTCTACACTTAATAAAACTGTAGGATATCTCTGATGCTGTGATGATGTATAATACTTTATTCTCCACAAAAAGACTACAAACATCGACTATTCAGCAAAAGGTCTGTTCATCCTTAGAGATTTTAATGTCTGATTTCACTCAGACCAAAAGGTTCCAGCCCCAAACATCACACACAACTGCTGAAAGCTTAGAAACACACAGGACAGTGTACAGTCAGGATACTGTAAGAAGCCCAAAGGAAGCCAACTGTGCAAAATCCTCAAATTTGGTAATTTAATTTGGTAATAAATCAATGAAAATAAATGGGGGGGAAAAAATCTTCAACATTGTAATCAATAAGAAATCAAAGGTGTTTCCCTCTCTTTCTGAAAAACGGACATTTTGAAAATAAAGGGTTTAAGGCCAACAGCAAAACAAATTTTCTTTCAAATCTGCTGTGACAGCTTATTGGCTGAGAGCAGGTTTGCAACACAGTTCTGATAAAAGCTTGATTTCACTCGATCATGAGCCCTGTATGTTTTCATTATTTCTCACTAGTGGAAGCAGCGCGGTGTTTGAATGTGCTTTTGTGTGTGTTAATTTAATTTCTATGCATAAATATTCTAAATCATTTAATTAATTCTATCTTAACTTAATCACATTTAAAGCAGAAGCAAAATATTTAGCTAACAAGGTTAAAGTATTAAATTTAGCATGTAATCTATTGTGTTTACAGTCTGACCTCAGTCATTTAGGCTTCTTCTTAGATCTGCTGATCTAACTCCTTCTCCTCTCTGACACCCTGACTGTCCCTCCAGTTCTGCTCCAGCTATTAGAATATGTTCTTTCTTAGGTCTGGTCATTAGTTAGGTCCATTACTGCGGCTCCATCATTAGGAGTAATTGTAATGCATCACTGAAGGTAATGAGTGCCTTACATTACAGGTGCCATCGAGCCTTAGACACTGAACAAGAGCCTTTTCTATACTGCAGCCTGAACACAATTCCAGTTTTCCTCATTTAACCACAAAACTGTAAGGGAAAGTTCATTTTGCAATAAAAAAAATGGCTACCAATGATTACATGGAATACTTCAGGAAGATGTTATTTACATATAATCAAGAGGAGTAACTAAAACATTATGGTGTCTGAGTTGTAGATGGTAACAATAACTTGTGATTATTCATGTAGCAAGCAAACACACATACATCCAGCACACTTGTGCTTCTCAAAGGGGAGGACTTGGGTCAGTAGTGTCTCTGAGTGGCTTAAAATTAGAAACATGTGCTGGTAATTATCACACTGCAGCAAAGCCACATCATGCAATTTAATGCCTCAGCAAATTAAAGAATAAATGGGATCAGTCTCTTTGACCTTGCTCACTTTGACTTGCCGAACTTGATCTACCTGATGTTTCAAGTGTGTGACTCAGTAAGACATATACGGACACACACACACACACACACACACACACACACACACACACACACACACACATATATATACAGTACATGTGCACATAACGCTACAGTCTAATAAATGAGCTGTTTGATTGTGTGGTGATAGGAACAATGGGAAAGCAACGCAGTAAAACCCATCAAATAAAACGACAAAGCATCCACACGCACTTGTTGTAGTTCTCTCTTGTGGTTGTCCATAACACCCAGCAGCCTCCTTGTGTTTTCAGTGCGTTACTCACCTAGCCAGTTCAGCTCGTCTCTCACTTCACAAATCCTCACACTTTCCCATCCATCCATCCTC